ATCTCTGTCCCCACCCTCCAACACAATTATCCCAGACAATTGCATACGCAAAATTTGAATTGCATGTTTTGCACCCAATTACTTTATGTTAACTTCTTTGTTTTATCTGTTTAATTTCCTGTCAACATGTTTTCTGTAGAAGCTAAGCTAGTAGAGGAGGCATAGGTGATTTTGCTGACAGAAGATAGAGAGCACAGATGGTGAAATGCATGAACAAGGCAGCATCTCAATCCTTTGTGCTCTCTATGCTTCTGTCATCACCTTCATCCCCTTACCTCCCCTATTGCTATCGCTTATTAATTTGATTTCCCATAATTAAATTAATCCATATTCATGTATTGCATAAAGTGGTAATAGCACATATATGAAAAGCATGTCATCAGTAAATCTTGGGATGCACATAAATGATAAGAATATTTTTGTGCACATTAACATAAGATTTGGAATTTCCCCTTTTTGGATAGTTTTTCGTCCAACCACAACTAAAGACGTACTTTTTGTTGATTTGTTTTTTTCTTTTTCTGGTAGGTACTAATTAAATAAAAGGGTTCTATTCTAGCTACTGTATTTTTTGCAGTTTTAATTGGTATCTGTTTGATAAGAAGGAGGAGAAGGAAATCTCTCCTCTTTGAATCTTACTATAATTAAGAAGTTGAACTCCTGTTCTAAATTTCCTATACATATTTATAGGGTATATATATATATGTCATATGTGTGTGGGGAGAAGAAGCACCAGGTTTTGTTGACAGAAGATAGAGAGCACAGATGAAGAAATGCATGGACATCGACATGGCAGGCAGCATCTCTCTCCTTTGTGCTCTCTATGCTTCTGTCATCACACCTTCAGTTTTAAATTTCCTATACATATTTATAGGGTATATATATATATATATATATATATGTCATATGTGTGTGGGGAGAAGAAGCACCAGGTTTTGTTGACAGAAGATAGAGAGCACAGATGAAGAAATGCATGGACATCGACATGGCAGGCAGCATCTCTCTCCTTTGTGCTCTCTATGCTTCTGTCATCACACCTTCAGCCCCATGTCTCTCTCTCTCTCCCCAAATATTATTGGGTTTCTTGCTTATATAATCTAATTCCCATTCATATATGTATATATTTTATCAATCTTGATTCTTGGGAATGTGAATAATTAGTGTCAAGCGTGAACTCGTCTGCACTACAAGAGAGAGACCACAAACAAGGCTCCACCATCCAACCGCCGCCAAATTAAAGCCACCCAGCACACAAGGCAACCAGGCACAAGTACCAAAGAAAACAACCGAAAGAAACAAGGCAAAAGCTGATCAAGTTGATTTGGAGCTAGCAGATTAACAGTGTTCACAGAGAGAGAGAGAGAGAGAGAGAGAGAGAGAGAGATATCAACATTCATCCAATTAACAGTGTACTTCAACTTTTGTTCACCACAATAAAGTACACTTTTTCCTTTTCTTGTTATGAAGTAAATTTACTACTTGATGTTATTTTGTTTTGGGTCAATATTTGCGGCTTGATGTTACAACCATAGTTCAAGTTCTTTATAACTTACAGATCCAACTAACAAAATAGAATAGAACTTGTTAACAACTATCCTGTTTGCGGGTTTTGTTTTTGTTCTGCTTTCAATGTATGGAAGATCTTGATCTTTTTATCCTATGTACTTTTTGCAATGGAAAAACATACCTTCTGGTGTTTTTAATCAAAAGAAAAAAAGATATGGCAAAACCATATCGCAATTATCAAGGAATAAGCAGGTCACTTCATGGAGTATCATAAAATTTAGAGTATATCCAAACTCAAATCTAACGAGGAATGAATCAAGACGGCCTAGGGCATTACATTACATGTAGTACTAATGCAAGGATTAACATTTCTTTTGTGAGATTATATTCTCAACATGCCCCTCATGCGTGACTTAACTTACTCAAAACAGAGAACAATTCTAATGAGGTGATGTGTGGGAGAGACTCATATGTTGGGTGTCGGTGGAGAAGGAGATGAAGAAATTGCTTAGTAAAATGGAGGAAATGATGATGATCAACTCGCTTGTGAAAGTTTGATGACTAGTCATAAAACATTAATACAAATTGCGAAGGAATTGTTTGATAACCATTTCATTTTCGCATTTCACTTCTTCAGAAATTGAAAATTGAAAAACATATTTGGTAACAAATTTCGTTTTTAGTTTTTAAAAAAGTGAAATCTAGTTTTAAAAATCACCCTTATTTTTTAAAAGAACTTGAAAGTGTTTTCAGTTTTTAGTTTTTGTTTTCATTTTTTTGCACTCCTTTCTTGTTCACTAATTTCACAGCACCACACATGCATTGCACTCTAATTACCAAAACTCGGTATTAGGGACCTCCTGACTTGGACTTGGGCACTCGACTCTTGCATTCGGCCGCTAACTCGGTCCAAGCCTTGGGACCTTCAGATTCAAAATTCACAAAAAAAATCATCCTAACACTGAAAAATATTACAAACTCTTCGTAACATGTACTTTCATTCTATGAGCTTAAATTTGATCCCAAAAAATGTCATTTCCAAGTTCCACATAAAACTGAAAACTTAAATCAGTTACCAAATAACTTTTAAACAGTTTTCAAAATCGGTTACCAAATAAATTTTATGTTTTCAATTTCTTAAAAATAAAAACTAAAAACTAAAAATTGAAATGGTTATCAAACATGCCCAAATATTTCTAAATATAGGCTTCCAACAATGTTATAGAGACAGTAATTATAATTTTTTTTCAATAAAGTAATTACAGACACCAACAGTTTTTTTTTTTTTTTGGCCAACAACTATTTTTCATAATCAATTTTATTTGACCAACTATTTACTAGTCAATATTGGAATCCTCACTCTCTCATTGATGTAAAAAAATTTCTACCATCACATTACAATCGCTTATTAATTACAAATAAATCAGGTTTAAAATGGGAAAAAATATGAATAAATGAAATATTAAACATGAGTCGAATAAGACTTGGTACTCCTAAAACTGTTGTGAGTATTATTATTTGTACGACATTTGACCACATTGTTGATCACCTCCCTAATACATAGAGCTAGTCCTGGATTTTGTAAAACCCTGGGCAAATTTCTAAAGTAGGTTCCTTTATACAAATTAAGCACTAAAAGTAAAAAACAATTATCAATTAATTAATTTTATTAAAATTATAGGAGTTTACAAAAGATAAGGAACAACACTTTGGTGTCTCATTATAAAAGATAAGGAACAATACTTTGGGGTCTCATCAACCACAAAACATCATTTAAAATGTCTTCTCGTAGTACTTTTAGAAGCAAAATCATCAATCCATTTAGCCCATTTAAATATCGCTAATACCCTATAAGCAACCATTACATTAAGAAACATATACACACTCTTTACAAACTCAAGAATTTTAATGCATGTCCATGATATATCTGTTTCATATGGTTCTTTTGGCAACATCACATGTAACTCTGATAATAAATCTCTTGCATAAACATCATAAACATCACCACGTTTTAAAATATTTTCAAGATTCACACAAGAATTTTTCAATTCATTATCATCCAACGAAGTCAACTTTGCAGCATCAAATAAGAAACTTAGGAAACATTTAAAAAAAATTATAATAAACGAACAACACACAATCAATCAATAACCCAATAAAATTAAACTAATTAACCAAAAAAAAAACAATAAAACCTGAATTTTGAGCATATTTTCTTCAACTTGAAACTTCTAATTGTAAGGAACAATAATCGCAAAAAATTTCTGTTTGAATCAAATAATAAAGAAAAAAATAAGTTAATAATGATGTGTATTACAAAATTTATACATCTACTATCTAAAAAATAAAAAATAAAAAAAAATTACCTTTAAAGAACAACACTGGTTTTATTTATTTATTTTTTTTGTCGAAGACACTAGGTTAGGCTTGTGGATGATTTGTTTTCCAACTCAGTGTTGGAAGAAGAGAATCACAAAAATGAAGCGAAGTAGAGAAAGTCAGAAAATAACGTTTTTTTTTTTTTTTGTTTTTGTTTTTGTTTTTTGTTTTGTTTTGTTTTTTTTTTTTTTTGCGGCTAAGAGGAATTTTTGTTGGTTTGGTTTGTTTACCTATGTCTAGTTTTTTTTTCCTTCATATTATATTATATAATTATATAGTCATTTGCCCATACTTGCTTTAGCCCATACTAGAACGTCTGAAAAAAGTCATTCTCTGAACAAAAAGAAAAAATCAAAAGTGATTTGCCCGTACTTGCTAGCTTCCTAGAAGTTCTAGTTTTGACGGTTTCATTTTTTTTTTATTATTATTTAAATAAATATATAGGCTATATAAAAACATTATGGGGCCCCCTCAATTTTGGGCCCTGGGCTATAGTCCTGGTTGCCTTGGACTAAGGTCAGCTCTGTTAATATAAGTGAGCTCACATACATTAATGTGGCTTATCTCTATTTGAGAGGTGATTAGTAAAGTGATTAGTAAATATGGTACAAATAGGAGTAATTATAGTGTATTTCAGTAGTACATTCACGTGGTATAACCTGTTTATATATTATAATATAAGTGAATATTTGTTGATACTATTTCCTAAAAGAAGGAATATCAGTCATGTTGTTCACTCATATTATAATACACAAGCTATACCACATTGACCATAATCGTAATCGAGTACTATTCTATAATTTCTCACCTTTACCGACAAAAACCCGCGCTCAAAAAATATTTATTTTGAGCACGGGTTTTTCTGGTCCAAGTTTATCTTGTTTTTACCATGAATTATATGATTATTTACGGAAGTTAAAATGGCACATGTAGACAATGTGGAATGTGGTGAGAGATGGAGGCTTCTTGGGTCTTAGGGCCCAGTACGCGTCAATAGGTGGTTACCATGGATCCATTGGGCTTGGTTCTAGCTAGGTAACAGATGGGATTGGGCGTATCTGACTGGAATAACTCAATCAGAAGCTGCCTGAAAAGAAAAAAACAGAAGTTGCAGATTCTCGGCGTTCTGCGTGAAAAACCTCTTTCTCTGCGTGAAAACAAATTTTCAAACTTTCTCTCTCTGTTTTATTTAGTTATTCACCACTTGATTAATTTGGAAGAGCAAATCAGTTTCCTCTCTGTCAATAGTGTATGTATCTTTGAGTAACTTAGTCAAAGCTCAGGTGCAGGTTCTCTGTTTTCTAAAATCTACATAGACCAGCCATATGCAGACAGACAAGGTGAGAATTTTATATTAGTCTTGGACTAGCTTATGATTTGGGTTAATTTTCACTTAGGCTGCTTGTGCTTTATTTTTTCTTCTTCTGATTTAATCTTAAATTACTACAGATAATATATGTAACTAATAATGTGGAGACCTATTGCTTTTTCATTTGTTATCTGTTGTTTTCATTTTTCCTTGTTAAACAAGATTTTTACTGCAGAAAATGACATTTCCTCAATGTCAACCCAAACAGAGATAACATTGAGGGAATTCCTTTTGTTTGTAGTAGTAATACATTTTAATATGGATTTTAAAACTTTTTCAGGTGCCATGGACATCCCTCTGCCTCTTAGTAAATTAACTCTGCATTTGGTTAATCGTGACGACAAGTATGTTCATATTGTCAATTTTATTTGACTGTTTTTTGCTGTTTTCTGTTACTAGTGGAATCGTTGGATATGTCTGCCTTCCAGGGATTGAATTTGGCTTTTTAACTTTAGTAAAAGGAATGTATTTATTTAGTTTTATGCTTTTCTCTGTTTTAATCACTGACTTAGCTAATCCTAGTCCTGTCTATCTTAAGGGCATTACATTTTAATTTGCTGAAGAATTGCATTACATTTTCATTTGGGAAGAATTGCATTTGTTGGTTAAATTTCAAGCATGAATGTCAGGGTTGACAAAATTAATATTACGGGGTGTAATTTTTTTGAAAATATGTTAACTCTCCATCTCTGTCTCTATCCAAACTAGGGACAAGAAGTATGTAGTTCTAGTAGCAACTGGAAGTTTCAATCCTCCTACTTATATGCATTTACGATTGTTCGGTAAGTGTCTCATTTTGACAGCTAACATATGAATATACATACATGCGAATTGCGCTCTCTATTTGAATCTGGTAATGGCCTCTTGGGTTTCATTTTCTACTTATGACTTTGGGATCTTGTGCTCATTTTTTTCACTGGAAATTGCAGATCAATTGTATATTTTGATCAATTTTGCTGTTGTGCACAGAGCTGGCGAGAGATGCACTGAATTCACAAGGCTTTTGTGTCATTGGAGGTTATATGTCGCCTGTTAATGATGCGTACTATAAGAAGGTATGTAACCTTTAATAGCATTTCTGTAGGCATTGGAGTAGAAAGAGCTTTCATAAGCACATGGATTAAGGTACATAGTATGCACGGCAATTTTTAACAGAGTTCTGGGATGAGGCCACATTCGGAAGTTATTCCCATAGCTCAACTTCTTCCTGGACCCCTTTCAACCAGGGTTGTAGAAGCAACACATTTATTCCATTTTATTTATTTATTTATTACGGAGGTTACTCAAATGAGTTTGTTAATGCAATTATGAGGTTTATTACTTCTTTATGCCTGAATAAGTGCTGTAGCTAGATCATATGATCAGATATCACATATCCCTCTATTTCCACGCATTGACATGGTCACTTGGTTGGTTATGTAGGGCCTTATATCTGCTGAACATCGTATACAGTTGTGCAATCTAGCCTGCCAGAGTTCAGAATTTATAATGGTTGATCCTTGGGAGGTATCTCTCTCTCCACTGTACAGATTCTCTAGATTCTGAGATGATTCTTCTGTTGTGCAGGATGTTTCTTATTTATTTACTGCCATTAGGGTTCTGTTCTGTGTACTTAAAAATAGAATTTATAAACCAATTTTACAGGCAAGACAAAGTAGCTTCCAACGCACTTTAACTGTTCTGTCTAGAGTCAAGGATTTCTTGTCTGAGTCTGGGCTGATACCAAGTGGTAAGATTTGCAAAACTGTTATCGTTCGTTTTTCTTTTCCTTTGAGAAGCTGCATCATTGTTAATTTGGAGGCAACGTGATTGACTTCTGTGTCTGCTCTCAATAGAATACCTTAAGTGCATGCTTGTGTGTGGCTCTGATCTACTCCACTCTTTTGGCATTCCTGGAGTTTGGATTGCTGAACAGGTATGTCTGTAATTCTATATTCTAGTGGTCATGTGTAGTTTATTCTTACAAGATAACCATCTCATTTCTCCTGTATTAATAACTTACCATAGAATACGACGACTTCATCTGGAGAGTTTTAGACGACTTCATCTGAAGAGTTTTACTCATATCTTAGTTCAGTAACATTAAAAAGTGTTGAATATAATTCTTAGGAGAATATTTGGTCATAATGTCCAACAACAATCACACATGAATGGAGTTGTATAGTGTGTGACTAGAAATTAACTGAGCACTTGGTGGATCTTTGTTGTATAATGCAAAGTACCATAACACTCGAAGTGGGGTACGGTTTAATTAACCCCTTTGAATTGGTCCGTTTCTGGTCGAATCCACCATAACATTTGTCCTTATTGGTCAGGTCAGAGGCATATGCAGAGATTATGGTGTGGTTTGCATTCGCAGGGAGGGACAAGATGTTGATAAAATTATATCAAATGATGAAATTTTGAAAGAGAACAGGGTAATCAATCACATCTCTTGATTGTTTTAGTGCTTTTTGGCTCATATATTGTAATAGTCAATCAAATTGTCATTCAGTGGTTGTAAAACACTGGATTTTCTTAGTTACACACCTAGATCAATTAACTATTACCCAAAATGATATTTCTCTCTTGCATTTCTCTGTTCTACACCTATGTATCTTCTGAACATAAATTATGCAACTTGGCATTGTACACAAGGGTCGAAATTGGTCTAAATTGTGAAATCGAAAGTTTCGTTATGGTTTGAAATAGTGCAGTTCTTGAATAGTTTTGATTTGAAGCTTCTTTACAGTCCACTGCTTTTCTGGTCCATTTGATGTTAGTTCTTCTCTTTTTTATTACAGGGCAATATAAGGATCGTGAACGAACTTGTACCTAACCAAATAAGTTCTACAAGAGTAAGGTAAAGGCAATGTGATTCATTGACAAACATATTAAGGGGAATGTGGAAGGAACTGAAAACTTACAAATGTATTTCAGGGATTGCATTTCAAGAGGATTGTCGATAAAATATCTGACTGCAGATGAAGTAATTGTTTACATCAGAGAACATCATCTCTACTCGAACTCAAATGACAAGTGATGAAGAAGATATCTTCATCATACACAGCACATGTTTATCAGATCATTCCGTAGAAAGTAATCGATTGATTGATAAAACAAATTCTGCCATGTTTATCAGATTTTTCTGTAGATATGACAAAACCAAATCGCAGTTCTCAAGGAATTATCAAGTTACATTAAAGAGTATCCAAATTCAAAACTAATTGGGAATGGATGAAGAGGGCATAGGGCATCGCATTTATTTGTAAGTAATACAAAAATTGCCAAGTAATTACGGACACACCAACTATTCTTCCAACTTTTCATCATCGATTTATTTTGATTAACACTTCTCTTTCAATATCATCGCCATCAGTCGGGATAAGAGTTGGTACTTTTACCGAAGTAAGAATGCCACATAGATTTTATGCGGAGATGACGTGGAATGTGAGTTGGATGGGCCTCTCACATGGATTATTAGAAACTTAGAAATATTTTTCCTCACAACTTTAACTCAAGGTATACTCTCACTATCCTTCTCATCACTTGACACATGTCTATTGACATAACCAATAACTAACACATTGATAGTATTGACGAAATATCGAGGATATTATCGTATTTTCAGGTCTAGGATAGTTTGGAACATATCCATACGCATATTGTAAAGTATTGATAATATCGAAAAATATTGACGTTTATAATTTCTTTCCCACTTCAGCAACATTTGGCCAAAATATCGATAATATCGATACTATCGAGATGATGAAGAGAATGAAAATTTTGAAGAGTTTTTTACACTAACACCCCTAAGGTTTCTTGTGTTTTCACAAGATCCCCTCAGGTCTAAAACACGAACACCTCCCTGAGGTTTCAGTTTGTTTTCACAAAACTCCCTTTCGTTGATTGTTTGTCCAAAAATTGATGATTTCATTGAAAAAAAAATTATGCAAATGACAAAATTAACCTCATTGAAGTATATGCAATCTAATCTCAAAAGCCAACTTTGTCATTTGGAGAGTTTTTTTTTGGTATTAAATCATCACTCTTTGGATGAAAAATCAATGAAAAGGAGTTTTGTGAAAACAATTTAAAACTTCAGTGGGTGTTCGTGTAATTTATAAAACCTCAAGGAGTTTTGTGAAAAAGCCGAAAACCTCAGGAGGTGTTAGTGTACATCACTCAAATTTGAATCTTATAGGAACTCTATGTGGTATTAAGTCACTCATGTATCTTATCATGCAATGTATAAAGTCTAAAATATTGTAGTAAATTATTATAAATAAATTATTATGGTGTGTTTAATCTTCTATAATTAATTACTACATATTTTCTACACTCGCGGTGTTTGTCAGCTCACTATATAATTAACTTAAATAAGTTAAACCTATCATGTAATACATTTCCTTCCAATTTTTTGTGATAAATAATTGACTAAATAAACATCTTCCAAAGTTTCAAGAAAAATTTACAAGTTTTTCTTAGAATTTCCGTGGTTTTTATTCATTTTTTATCGATACCGATAATATCCTGGTATTTCCATTGAAATTTTTGTGTTTTTGAACTACCAATATTTCTGAAACCATTGATATTTTAGACCTTGCAAGTGCTCACGGATCTCTATATATGGAGATGTCTCTTTTATATACATATAATATATATGCTCATCATCAACTTGGAGGAAGCATGGATGTGTTTGCCACTTTATGATTTTGACACTTTTTGCTAGTGCTCTTTTGAGTGCAGCTCTAGTGCTTGTTATGCTGAGCTATGCTCCATTATCTTTTCTAAAAGTGACTCATGACACAGGAGAGTACAGAGCTCCTTTAACAAGAAGAACTTGCATGTCATAGGATAACATTAGTTTGCTACTTTTCATTAATCAAGTTTTGTCATGTAGAAAAATTATCCGCCAGAACATGATTGATTAGAGATAACAAATCAATATTGACCTCTTGATATACAAGTTTTTTGTTGTAACCAAGGTATAAAATATCGATAATATCAACGAAATATCTAGGATATTATAGGTTTTTCAGGTCTAGGATATTTTGGAACATATCCATACACATATCGTATAATTATCAATAATATCGAAAAATATCGAAGTCGATAATTTCTCACACGCTTCAACAACATTTAGTCAAAATATTGTGATAATATTGATAAATATAAAAAACATCGCTATATGGACATAATCATAATTCCTTAGATTAAAGTGATGATAAAAATGCTCCCTTTAAACTTAGTACTAATAGATAGTAATGAATTTTAATAGGATGACTATTAAGGACCTGCTCTGCTCATTACAACTCCACATTACAGTCTCGCCAAATGTGCTAAACCCTTCCACGCAAAGAAGTTGGCGAGTTGTGGTTCTCCTCTCCTCTGTTACCCATTGGAATTGAACAAATGCCACACGAAACTTGACCAGTGGTTGTGGTTTATTAGGTTTAGCCCTATATTTTGTTATTTCCAAACCCATCTTTCTCATCTCATACCATCTCATACCATCTCCATCTCATACCATCTCCATCTCATCTCATCCCATCCCATCTCATCCATGTGACTAATACGCGGTGTGCAGCAGATCACAACAACCAGGAGAGAGAATTTTTCCAAGTTCACCAGTCACAAGATTACACGTGGCTACCCTACTATAGTCAACAAAAAAATCATGCATTGAATTTCTTGGCATGAAATATCGATCTTCATATCTTCACGAAACCTCATCTTGTTTTGTTAACACGTGTACATATAAATAGTCGGTTTGTCTGTGTGCTTTCTGGTATGGTCGGCTATTTTCAAATGTGTAAAATACCAGTCAATTGAGAAATTGTTTGGATTAAGGTACGTAGTAAAGTAATGGTTAATGGAACATATTTTCTATAAAAATGATGTCCCATGGTTTAACTTTTACACGTTTGCTACCCACAAGTCACAACTACCAGTCTCTAGAATCTTCTGCAGGTTTCTACACACTTCTTTCAACCCATTTATAAGCAAGTTTTGTGCTAAATGCTAACCCATCATACACACTTGAAACTTACAAATTAATAGTTCATTTAAAGCAAGGCCTCGTCAGAGATATGCCTCACCATCATCCACCAGGACCCCCACCACCGCCAGACCCGTTTGCTCCTCCACCACCGGACCCCGCACCGCCACGACCACCTCCACCAGGGCCTCCTGGTCCACCCCCGCCAGGGCATCCACCGCCGGGTGGACCTTTCGCTCCACCTCCTCCAGGACCACCTGGTCCTCCAGGACCACCTGGCCCTCCACCACCACCTTAGTATCACCTCACATCAGTCTCATCTCCACCAGTACATTAGTATTTTAGTAGTATGTGCATGTATATAAGAAATAAAGTGTGTGCGCGTGATGTTTTATCCATTGGAATGTTCTGTTATTTCTACTTTTCTGCGTAATTAAGAATCTTCGATTGTGTTTATAAAACAAGGAGCGAGAATGTTTTGATCTTGTGACACTCGATCTCGTCTTTGTTAGATTACGTTAAAAGTTCATACATAACAAATGCTGAATAATAAAATGAACTACGTTTTTCCTCTATGTGACAAGCTTCCCTGCTTCCCCCAATCAATCAATGTGCTTCGCCCATCGATAAGAAAATATCTATAAAGAATAAACTGGTTTGATTTATGAATGCAAAGACGCGTATGCAAAAGCACAAGAACATATATCTTTTCACTCTCTTGGCCGAACTGAGCTATTACAATTAGAAGGGGGCAATTAAAAAGCTTGCAAACTAGGCGTTTTTTCAATTAAAAAGAGAGGGATCTCGAGACTTTACATTTAGCTATCAAGCATTTTGGTGCATTTCATAAAATTTAGTTCACTCCATTAATCTAGTGGTTCATCATATTATACCACATCAGATTAATAAGTTTTGGGCTTTTCTTTTCCAAACTAAGTGCCGTTTAATTCCGTTCTCCACTTACGAACCCATTCATTAGTTTATGCAATGTATACATAAAATTTCACAAAACCCAATCGCTAAAACTAAAACCTCCCTAACATATAGAACAAAACCCTATACATAGATTCTAGGAATAGGTACCGATCCATAAGTCATTAGAGAGATAATACCATAAAAAGCCCATCTCAGATTTTGAAGCACCAGACCCAACCCGATGGGATCAAATGGGATTGAAATTCTGAGAAAGTTGTGGCTTAGGTTCCAAGATGTGAATGATGATGTGCGCTGAGACTATAATGAGGGGTAAGTTATAAGGGGTAAGTTATAAGGGGTTCACTTTATAGTCATTGGATCAATCCAAGGGCTGGGGAGAATTGGGATAAAGTTGTGCAATCGGGTAGGTGAGGAACCCAAACCCGAATTTAATATCCAGCAATGAAGTTGGTCCCAACAAAAACAAAAAAGAGAGGCAAGTTCGAAGTTTGAACAGAAAAAACCCATTGATCTCAAACTCATAGCTGAGAGAAACCGCTAAGCTCTGAGAAACGGTTGAAGGCAACGGGCAACGACGGTTGAAGGCAACGGGCAACGACGGTTGAAGGCAACGGGCAACGACGGTTGAAGGCAACGGGCAACGACGGTTGAAGGCAACGGGCAACGACGGTTGAA